ACCTGTCGAGAAAGACACGTGGCAATGATTACCAGTTGTCAGACTCCTCTTTTAAAACACACTCTCCTCCTCCTCTCTCTCTCACAAACTCTCTTCCCTTCACCAAAAAACTTTTCTTCTTCAAACATGGAGACTTGGGAGAAACCATCTTCCAGACGTCACCACCGTAACCCTTCCTTCTCCTCCTCTCTCCTCGACCAAATCTACCGCTCCATCGACGACTCTTCCCCTCCCCAAGAACCCACAAGAAAGAAGAAACTCCTCCACCAAGATCTTGACTCTTCTCCAAATGACAAACTACTCTTTCACCGCCGCTCAATAACCACTGACTTCGCAAGAACAAGGCGAACCACCACCACCTCCTCTGACTCAAGCGTTGACTCCTCCAAATCCTCTGCCTCTCCTCCGCAGCCGAAACCAATCCGTACCTCCACCGAGAGACCTAACAGCAAACAAGAACTTGGTGGCTTCTTGAGAACCAAGTCAAAAGCGTTAAAGATCTACACCGACTTGAAAAAGGTGAAACAACCCATCTCACCAGGAGGACGCCTCGCTACTTTCCTTAACTCCCTCTTCACAAACGCATCAACTAATCATAAGAAGTCCAAGAAAAACAACACTTCAATCTCTGTCTTGTCGGAAACACACTCCTCCACGTGCTCCTCAGCGTCTTCTTTCTCTAGGTCTTGCCTCAGCAAAACTCCCTCCTCCTCTAGTGGAAAATCTAAAAGATCCGTACGGTTCTGTCCTGTGAATGTGATACTCGACGAAGACTCCTCTAACAACTACAACGAGGCCAAACGTTATCGCCACGTTATGGAGGAGGAGGAGGAGGAGAATAGGCGCGTTATCGAAGTGGCCAAGGATCTTATTAGAACTTATCAGAAGAATAAGGATCTTTTGGCCGTGACAACATGTGACAACGTTGAAGATGATGATGATGATGATGCGGCGAGTTACGCTAGCTCTGATCTGTTCGAGTTGGAGAATCTTTCGGCGATTGGGATCGAGAGGTATCAAGAAGAGTTACCAGTGTACGAGACCACTCGTTTAGATAACTCGAATCGAGCCCATTGCTACAATAATTGTATAATATAATGTTTTAGTCAAGTGGTTGGGGGTGATTAGTGTAAAACCGTTCTCTCTTATATTAGTAACTTTTGTGTAACAATATATATATATGTTAATCTTGGTATATTTTGGTTATATATAACTATGCAGCTTAATTAGCTATCTGATTATTGTGAAGTTTTAACTAATCTTTTTTATTGCACGTATGAAGTTATGTTGCTGTTACAAGTTTTATCCTCTTTGCCATTGTTGTGAGGGAACCAAGTTTTTTTCTATTACATTCTCTGTTACCAACTAGAACAGCAAAGAGTCGTTGCCTTTCCTTTATTCTTAACTCTCTCTCTTTTTTAAGAATGCTTAAAATTCCACAAGAAGAGATTTGAGTAGAAAAATATAATTAATTTAAAGTTAAAGATTTTATTTGTTGCTACTAATAATGATCAATAAGATGAGCGAACAAAGTGAAAGAGACTTTGGTCTCAAATGTCATGGACAATAGTATCCAATATTTGATTCTTTTCGAGTACTTCTGTCCGAATTCGATTGGAGTGGCTTGTCTTGCTCTAAGCATGGCTTAAGATTATTCTCGAGTGTTTAGTACTTGCACACTAGCTTTCTTTTTCTACTTTGTCATATCGTCGATGATTAAACCACATGATGATGAACGTGGTTTTACATGCTCTTCCATATATCGATCGTACACGATTCTGTTTATCGATGGGAAAATGAATGGTTAGAACGTTGTTAGTCTGAGAATAATTAACCTACGTGCAAATAGATTCCAGAATAGTAAAAGTTTCAGTTCAAAACACTATGTACTATTGTAAAATAATGGAATCATGTATTATTAATAATTGTACGTACGTGTGTCAGATTGACAACCTTTGATTTGATTGCGTCGATAGAACGAGAAGAATCTACACATCTAGCGTTATAGGTCATACTGATATATTGATATTTCGGAAATTTATTTGCATAACATAATGACTGAGACAATAAACAAAGAAAGCATGACAAAAACGAATTATGGTACAAAGTAACAACTAAGAAGATTGGACCAGCGAATCATAGTATTATGATAAGCTATTAAAGCTAACATAACACATGCTATTCTGCTTGATTATTTTTTGTAATTAGTTAAAAAAAACAAATTATTGCCTAGACAAAACTCAAAAGAAGGCTATAGAGTCAAAAGTTGCTTAGCCAAGAATAAAAAGATCAGATACAAAGGAAAGATCACATACAATTAGTACGGACCCATTTTCCCACTCATTTTCTTTTCGTTTGTTTAGTCACTTTAATTAAACGGTTGTGTTTATTATTAATAGCTTGCAAATCCCGCATGATCGAGAATCAATCCTTCAATAGCTTCAACAAGAAAAAAGTTTCAAAAAACAACTATTATATAGTACATGACGATTGAGAATTGGTTTTGATTTATAAGAGACCACTTCAACAAATATACATGTAGGAAAGTGTATTCAGTCGCATTATAGAGAATCAAATACATTCGACATTTAGTTGATCACACTCTTATTAGTCAAAATTTTAATGAGTCAGTGGATAAAACGGATACTTACGTCGGTAAGTAGAACGTATAGACATGGATTTGTTCCTGTTCGTGGTGGGTGAAGTGGGGGAGTTGTGAAAAGTAAAAATATAATCATGAGTGTAACGTGCTGATTTAGCCAATTAATTTATAAAGTATGACTCCAACAATCAAATCTAGTCAATTAAAATATTTAATTAATTACCTTTCTATGTAAACCAAACATGGCGGTAAAGACGAATTTGACCAAGTTTTTAAAACAATTAAAAACAAGGTTTATTTTAGAGGACAAAACACTAGTTAGCTATGCGGTGATATAAAAATCATTAATATTTTGTTTTAAATTAATAATAGAGTACCAATAAACAGAATGCACGTATTGAACGAAGAAGTTTCGTCGTGAATCATACAATTAATAAAAGCATTTGGACAGCTATATGATATATCATAAGTGCCATAGAGATTGGTTTGTATTGTTATAAAAAATAAAAGAATAATGAAGGGGCATACAATGTCCCATATCAACCATGCACAACTCGTCATTCGCATGCACTACCAGCTATTTCTATATATATTAACTAGCTAGGGCTTACTCCATTTCAAATCACACAAGCTAAGGCACACACTGGATTCACTATATGTATATTAAATTTGATACTACTCACTCTATTTTCTGGAGTGTGCACGTACGTGAACATGTCGTCGTAAAACGGTACATGGAGGCAATGGTGGTGGACACTCTCAACACTACTATTAAATATGTATACGTGAACTGTGTATGTGTCTACGTACTATAGTAAATAAATTTCGCGTTAAATTGACAATCAAGTTATATAGATTCTGAAATATCACTCGAAACAGTGGCAGAAAGATAAATAGGTTTGGACCTGAAACGAGTGGATATGAATCTAGCCCGCACGTGACGAGTGGGCGCTTCAAGTCATGTGTGCAAATGTGTTATTTTTCCTGATCCGTATGACCAAAAAACGATCCTCCCCTCTACTAGGGCTGGGCATTTTATCCGTTATATTTGATTCGATTCGTTATTCGTTTCGATTCGATCCGAAAATTCCGGATATCCGTTAACTTTCGAATCAAAGCAAATACTAAAATTCAATATCCGTTAAAATCGAAGCAAATCACAAATAGTAAAATTTTGGGAAGCGGATATCCGATCCGATCCGTAAATATATAAATATATGTATATCTTGATTATATTTAACATTTGAAATGTATAAAATTATATAATTATTATTCTAGCATATGATTTTGAACAATTCTATTTAAATTATTATTTATATAAAAGTATTACATAAAAAGAAAGAAAGAAAATTATGACAATTATATTTTTTTCTTAAATTTTGTGTTATTATAATTGTAACTTAAGCTTAAAAAATTACAAAATATATAAATTCACTAGTTCTTTTAAGTTTTATTTTATATATCATGCAAAAAAATATTTTTGCAAAGCAAATTTGTATCAAAATCTTAAGATTATTTGTATTAATCAAAATGAATGAGATATTCGAAAATATCCGCAAATATCTATTTATTTTCCGGATATCCGTTTTTCCGGATATCCGTATTTTTTCGAAGCAAAGCAAATACCAAAATTAGATATCCGTAACATTCGAAGCAAATCACAAATACCTTAAAAAACCCGGATATCCGATCCGTGCCCACCCCTACCCTCTACATCAGATGTGGTCCAGACTGGAACAGAAAAAAGTTGGCAAACACTGTGCTCTTTTTATTTTGTTTATAAAAATATTATGATGCCAACAAAATAAATAATATATAATCAAATATATCTTGTTAAAAGTCAAACTGAAACTAGATTTTGTCTTTTATCTATTCTGAATGCATTTTCTACGAATATAGAAATGAAGCTGTAAACATTGATATGTTCAGAATGAAATATGTTCTCAGGCTGTTAAGTTAAAAGTCTAAAGTGATGGATATCTTCTAGAAATTGGCGGAAGTAAACTGAAATGTTTTCTTGTATCAGTTCATAGACATCTCGTTTCATTCTGTTTTTTTTTTTCAGCCGGTTTTATATTTGTAGGAGTTGTATTTAATTGATCAAAACAAGAGAGGAGAAGCAAAAGAAGAGAACAAAGCTAGACCCTCCCAAAAGAAAAAGAAGACTGTTTTTGTTTGCTTCCAAGAAGATAATTGTCGTGTTTGCAACCTTTTGTCTGAACATGGATGAAATGAGAATCTATAACTTTCTCTTCCTTTAATTTTTACTAGGTTCATATCAATGCGATTATTCAAATATAAATAAATTAATTCATTACTCTATTTAGATGTTGTGTGAATATGTTGTTATAGTAACGTATTGCAATGAGAGTTAACGATAAAGAACACGACGAACAAAATCACATGGACGAGGCCAAGAAAACGACTAGAGAGAAGATTAACTTATTAGTATTGCCTCTGGATTTGTCATAATCAATCTAATTCTATATCATTAATTTCCCATGCCCGGGCATGATGCATAACCTTGTCTTCTTTCCATTTATGGACCCATCCTTATAATCATAATTAATAAACATTACTTTATAAGGATAACGATTAATCTATCTCAAATGGATCAATGTCATCCTCTTGTTTTCTATATACATCTTGTCGTCTCTCTCTCAACATCTGAATATCTGAACTGAACTGAAATTGTATTTTTGGATCATTTCCAGTTTAGGTAAAATGTCAGGACTAGTTCTCCATTATAACATTTTGTTTTTGTTATTTGTGCAAACACAATTTTCTTTGTATTATTTGATACTGCAGTGGATGTATAAGACATGGCTTAAGACTCGGTTTGATATTAACTGTGGTTTAAAACTACTAAAGTAACAGAAGTTATTAAACTTATCTTTTGTTATAAACCAAACTGTTCTAAAAGTGACATCAAACTGAGCCTTAATTAATTCGATGAAACTTATTTTTGTCAACAATTCAATGAAACTAATCCTCAACTGGAATAGTTTACACCAATTTTTTTTTGTTTATTTTTGGTGTCTTTTTATTTGTCATTTTGATCGGTGGCTTGTGGTATAACCAAGTCCATCAATATTATAACTATGACTCGTTGCCTTGTAGATGAGATAATACACTAGCATGTATACATATGGCCCTGATAATAGTTTGAACTTTCTTGGAAGCAAAATAAAACTAAAAGAAAATTTATTTTGTTGCAAACAGTTAATAATTGCATGTAAATACACTTTTACGCTGATTTAAATAAGACTAACCCTCTAGTTAACAACACATTAATAAGAGCCACATTAGACTTTTATCCAGTTGACCATAGTGCAATCACAGTGCTTGCAAGTAATTGCATATAAATACACTCATACGCTGACTTTAATAAGACTGACACTAGTCGACAACACATTAAAAAGACAGATGAACTTTTATCCATTGACATATAATCAAACATAGTGCATCAAAACACTTGGCCAATTCACATATATCTTCAAACGGGCACTCTATTCTATAAATTATGTTGTTCAACACAACCATTTATACAAGAAAATAACTGTTTTTAAACATTAACATAAGACAAGTCCAAATTTTGTCTAAATTTCGGAAAAACAGTATCTTCTTTAGTTCCTCCGGGTACGGTGAATACCGTTGCAAAGATGACAGTTGTTATCAACGCAACAACTAGCATACATGATGATGAAGTTTCCTTGAGCCACTTTTCACCTTGCCCTCTTAATATCTCGTGATCCCTCACAAAAATTTTATGTGGTGTAAGCTTCTCCACTTCGATGTTTCTTAGATTTAATAAACTTGTAGTCCTCTTGTTCAATCAAATATTTAGTGAACAATCAATAGTTTTTATCCAATCAGACCAAGTGTGATTAATGAGTACCTTAGTCAATGATGGTTATAGAAATATAAAAGGAGATGGTTACAGTCAATAGTTTTTTTTTTGTTTTGTTATATGCAACTTCAAGATTATAAAGGAAAGAAATGATGAAAATTTGTCTCTCTAAGAAGGTAGATAGAATGTGCTGGTATGATTTATCATGACGACTGTGTCACAGATATCCAGTTCGAAATGACCACTGTAACAAAACTAGTAATACATTATGTAGTTTTGGGTATTGTGGATTAAAGATTTCAATTTCAAACTTCCTTATATTCAAAAAAGGAAAATAACTAATTAGGTAGTTGATCACATACTTGAAGAAATACTACTAGTCAATTTTTTAATCAAGTCAACCCAATTAATAGAATAAATCAGTGTGAAACTAAGGTTAGATCCACCAATCCAAATACTAAATTGGCAATGAGATCTTCACACACATCTTGTAGTTTTGAGTTTTTTTCTAGAGCACTACGCGTTGTTTTTATTTTAAAACAGAAAACAAAAACGTCGTGTTGTTTTTACTTTAGAAGAAACGTCGCGCTGTTCTAACGGATGGGAGTTTACAGCAAAATCAAAAACTAGACGAGTACTTTTATCAAGTCGGTTCAAACTACAAGGACTTATCTTGAAAATTTAACCAAACAAAACTCAATCAAAATTAGGGTTTACCATCTCTTATACCCTCCTCTATCGAACTTCTCGTTACCTCACAGCTCTCTTCACCTATGGCGACGGAGAAACACGAGAACGACGACTACATGGACGAAGAAGGAGACGATTTCAAAACCCCGCAACGTCACGATAAGAAAAAGAAGAAAAAGAATAAGAAAACAGAGAATAACGAGCCGTTAGACGTAACCGTCAAACAAATCTCCGATAAGGCCGATAGAATCTCACCGATCGTAGCGTACTTCGCTTCAGGATACGATCCTTGCTCACAGTCCCCGAAAGTTACTGTTTACAGGCACAAAGTGGAGACGAAGAAGAGGATTAAGGTCGTCGTGAGCCCTCCCGGATCGAACGTGGAGTTCGTGGGTTCGAATTTCACGGGAGAGCAGTCTAGTAGACAGACTTGTGTTTATACGCTCGGTGTTTTGGATAAAGAGACTCAGACTCTTAAGATTGTTCCCATTGCTTATAATAAGGTTTTTGTTTTTTTTTTTGTTTTTTTTTTGTGAAATCAAGAATCAAAGATTTGGTGATTGTTTGTTATTTTACTTGTAGGTTGTGAGATTAGAGACGAGAGTTAAAGGTAATGAAGCGGGAGAGGAGGAAGCTGCGGAGGGTGCTGTTGCTACGGAGGATGAAGCTGACACTAACTTGCATACTTTCTGGACTAAGAGAGCGATTTTAGATGTATGTTACTCTTTCTCTCTGTGTTTACATATCAGTCTTGCTTGTAAGATAGCTTATAGGATTAGTTTAAGAAAAGTTAACTAGACAGTAACTAGCTTCTTTGTAGAGGGACTTGTAACTTGTAGATGATTATTAGGTTATTTGGTTAGGAGGGGCATTAACTAATTATTTTGATGAATTATCAAAACTTAATATTCAAATATTAGACAAATTTGTGGATTTGTACTAACATTATTGCATAATTTAACAGATTTTAGACTAATTAAGATTACGATTTTGGAATAGTTTAAACTGATTTAAACCGAGCTGAGTTGTATGAATTGGATTTTAAGAAAATTATTTCAGTTAGGACCGTTTTTTAAAAGCATAGATATATATAAAACGAACAAAAAATTAGCCAGATTTGTGGATTTGTACTAACATTATTGCATAATTTAATAGATTTAGACTAATTAAGATTGATTTAAACTGATTTATAACAGCTTAAACTGATTTGAGTCGTATAAATCAGATTTTAGGGAAAATCGTTTCGGCTATAGTTTAATCTTTTGTTTGCATCAATCGTTGAGAGGAGATTTGTTCTGTCTGTGTACACAGGATAAGAAGAGGCGTGCTAGAGTTCTAAGAGATGATCCTGAGGGACAGAAGACACTTGAAGGTAAACTTGAGAAAGTGGATGTTAACACAAGTGCTCTTGAGAATACCAGTGCTCTTGTTGCACGCAACATTCCTCATCATAACGCCTTTGCGACGAATCCGAGAGACGCTTATCCTATAGAACATATTATCGAAAATGGAGATTGGTCCTCCCTTCAGGATGTTTACCGGCTTCTTCAAGAAGAAGCTGGAGCTGCAAAGACCGACGCTTACCCTGCTTTTGTCCGTAACCGGTTGTACAGGTTGCGTGATAACAAGGTAACCTTTATAATCCTTTTTTCTTGGAAGTGTGCATCCACTTGTATATCATCTTTGTCTCTACTTTGGACTTTGCAGGATGAGACTGAGAAGGAGACAGTTGCTGGCATCTTAACGTTCATAACCCATTTGATAAAGTTCAAGGACGATAACACATTGGTGGGTCGTGATTCCGCTAGGGGACACAAGTTTCCTCCATCCATCCGTGAGAAATGTAAGAGACTGTTCATGGATTCTGACGCAGGTTGGAGGATGCCTGATGACAAGACCAACCTTTTGATAAGTTACGTTCTTGTGCTCACCCTTCACGTGGATAAGTTCAAGACCGACTTTGAAGACATTGCTAAGGATCTGAGGATGAGCTCAGTTGATTTGAGGAAGCATTTTGAGAATCTTGGCTGCAAATTCGCGGTTGAGAACTCGATTCGTGTTGCGACGTTACCGGTTCCTCTCAAGTTCCCGGAGATAATGCGGAGGAGGAAGAGACAACGATAGATGGAGAGAGACACAAGGAATGATGATGATTATGATGGCCTTGCAGAAAAGTTGGTTTTGTTTGCTCATTTTTGCTGTCTAGATGTGATTTTATTTATGTTTGGATTGTTTAATGACTTTGGTCGTGATGATAAGTGTTTTATTGTAGCCACCATAAAGGAACTTGACGATGAATGAGTCCATTAGCTTTGTTTTGGTTTTGTTTCAGAGTTCCATTCCCTTCTCTTCTTCTCTCTCACTGTTGTTCTCTGAGCTTTCAACTAAAGACAGCAGCGATCATCAATTGAGTTAATTGGTGGCAACTATATGAACGGGAGAAATTAGTCAAACTGTAGCCGATTTTAAAAAGGTCAATTCGTAGTAATGAGATTAGGCCCACTACCGACTCTTGGAAAATCTCACTTTACTCCCACTTTGATTCAAAGTCTGTTATAAGTTATAACTCAACATGAACAAACCCAAATAATGTTACAATCTCAAGACTGAGCCGAGTATTGGCTAAACTAACAGATTATTGCACAACCAACCAAAGATAACACTCGAAACACTACTTGGTCCAAACCAGTTCTATCCCATTGAGATTTAGATTCCTTCATGTCTTAGGAATTACAAAATAGCAGAGAGACGCAGCAACAGAAATATGAAATCTTTTGATAAAACATTTGATTAGTGTTTCTCTTTTCTTCTTGGCCGCATTGGATAATGTTTCTCATGAGATGTATTTTTCTTGTTGCTCGTGCAAAAGCTTTGCTTAAGACTTGGCATCCAGGTAGAGTGATGTTACTTCCTCTATATCATCCTGTCACAAATTGGATATTAAGTTGTAAGATTAACCACATTGACATTTTTTTTGTAGTCTGTTCTATAGTTCAAGAATTCACAATTACCTTGAAGATACTGTCACGTCCATTCATTTTCGCCACGATTCTGGCAAGTGAACGCACAGAAAAGGTTTAGAGATGACATAGAGAATTTTGTCATTTTTTTTTTGGTAAGAAGGGTCATCTTTAGTCTTAAACCTTAAGGATGTTCTTTGCCCAATGTCCCCGAGTAGGACCAAGCATTCTTCATCCACTGTTAGCTCTTCCACTTGTGCACGAATGGCTAGCTATAATCTGACCACATTAATTACACACTTTATTAGAACGTTGTTAACTTATGGAAATCCAAAACCTAAAGTGACAATCAAAATAACCTGTATCATTTCAGAGGGATTATAGATTTGGGTCCGGATAATGACCAACCGATCCAACAAGTCAATAGGGACACCATGGGGACTTGGCATATCAGTCCCTCTGCAAATGAAGTGAATCACAGTAACTAAGTTAACCAAAGATCACATGGTTTTCAAAGTGAAAAATGATAAAGGCTAAGTGCTTCTCCTCACCTTACGTTGTAAACACCTCTGTTTGTTGCAAATATCACTATAGGAGATAATGAGCTCTCAAGAGCACGGGTCAAGTATGAAAAGCACTCCATATCAAGCATATGAACCTGTAAGTTTTGTAGTTCAAAAGGTATTATTCTTGTGATAATACTAAGCGTGGAAGGACAACAACTTATTGAGTTATTAAGATCAGCTAGAGTAATACTTTTTTCTATCTTTCTGAACATATTTTGTTACAACTAAAAATAAAATTTAATCTATTGTTAATTTTGATTTATTATTATCATCTTTATGTGCATTTAAAATTTCAAAGATTTCTATTTACTTTTTATTATTATGTTCTTATATATAGATGAAGGTGAAATTATATTTATTTTTAAACTCTGATCTAACTTTGTTTCCGTGGTTTTGTTAGATCTATGACATATTCCAGTTTCTCCCACCAAAGATCCAAGTGGGTGTCTTCTCAGCAACAATGCCACCAGAAGCTCTCGAGATCACAAGGAATTTCATGAGCAAGCCAGTGAGAATCCTGGTGAAGCGTGACGAGCTCATCCTCGAAGGTATCAAGCAGTTCTACGTCACCGTTGAGAAGGAAGAGTGGAAGCTCGAGACACTATGCGATCTCTACGAGACTCTTGCCATCACTCAGAGTGTCATCTTCGTGAACACAAGGCGAAAGGTTGATTGGCTCACTGACAATATGAGAGGACGTGACCACACTGACATCATCATGGCTCGTGGTATTGATGTTCAGCAAGTGTCTTTGGTTATCAACTACGATCTGCTGACTCAGCCTGAGAAGTGGGAGGTTTGGGAGGAAAGGAGTGGCGATTTACTTTGTGACTAAGGATGATGAGAGGATGTTGTTTGATATTGAGAAGTTTTATAATGTGGTTGCTGAGGAGCTGCCTTCCAACGTTGCTGGTCTGCTTTGAGGGGAGAAGTTCGTTGTCTGCAGTATCATCAGAAGAAAGGTTTTCTTGTTACGCAAGGCACTCTTTGATCTTATTTTGATACCTCTTTCCATCTGCATTTATTGTTACCTCTCTTAAAATTGCTAAAGACATACCTATATCTTTGTGACCATTTTTATTTTTAAATAGTTATGGAATATTTATTTCTTGTCTGTTTCAATTGTGTGGTTTTTGTATCAAAATCAAAGCTTTTACGTGAAAGTTACTTTCAAAATAAGTTTCTTGCTTCAAGAATTTTTTTATTCACAGTCCACCAAGCATTTAAACCAAATGAATATATATCATTCATCATCATAATTTTAGTTTATGTGAACTAACATAACACATACATTACATCCACACAAACCTAACCAGGAAAACAAAACATGAATGAGACTTATACCAACTTTACTTATTCAGAAAGTATTTTTCTATTAGTAGGCTGTTACACAGACATGGTCATGAAGAAAGCATAGGCTTTCGACCTTTGTTGTTTTACTAATTTATTGGACACAAATTTCTAAAAACCTTAAGTAGCTTCATGGTGGTTAATTAAAAAACATTAAGTAGTTTAGTGTTATTCTACTCGTAGTGGGTACAAGTTGTTAGAGGCATTGGTGGATTTTGACCAACCTCAAGGACACACACTTACTCCAGTTGAACGGCAACTGTGGAGAGAAATGTGGAAAACTAAAGCTCCCCCAAAAATAAAACATTTTATGTGGCGGGCATTATCTGGTGCTTTGGCAGTTAAGCAGCGCTTGACTACTAGGGGGATTCCGATTGATCCAACTTGTTATGTTTGTGGTAATGGTCCGGAAAGTATCTGTCATGTTCTCTTTACATGTGATAAAGCACGAGAAACATGGGAGCTTTCCAATTTTCCAGTACCTTTAGGAGGTTTCTCTCGGAATTCCACTTTTTTAAATTTTGTGCACTTGATCAAGATCCACAAGAGCCCCTCTATCGATATTCATACAAGGAATGTTTTCCCATGGTTGTTATGGGAAATTTGGAAAGCTAGAAACGCTTTCGTCTTTGAGTCTAAGAGGATAGAGGCATCTTTCATTGCTAGTAAAGCTTATGAGGAAGAATCCACATGGTTCGATACTTTCTCTGGTAGGAAGGAAGGAGGTGATGAGGTTGTTCCGGAAACCATTAAATGGAAAAAACCACCTATTGGTTTCCTCAAATGTAATGTTGGATCTTCGTGGGTACATTCAAGCCATACTGCGGGCGCTTCTTGGATCCTTCGGGATGAAAAAGGGTCCACAATCTTGCATAGCCGTCGTGCTTACTCATGTATGCGCTCAAAGACAGAAGCAGATTTGTGGGCTCTCTTTTGGGCAGTCGATTGTTTGCATACTCTACATTTCTCGAATATTATTTTTGAGACTGCCTCTGCGACCCTACATGATGCTCTTACCACGACGAATTACCTTAGTCTCAGCCATATACGTCACAGCATTTTCTTCCTCCTTGCAAGGATTGATTCATGGAGTTTGGATCGTGCCCTTCCTGAACGCAATGAAGCTGCAGCGGCAATTGCTATGAGTGTCACACGCGACCTTCGTCATCAATCCTACATCGCCCGTAACGCTCCGGTGTGGCTTCATCATCTACTCGCGCTGGAGGCTCAGCAATGAGGTATTGTCTCACCCGAAATGGTCAATCCTAATCATTCGTCGCCGAAATGCTCCGGCTTGGCTTCAGCTTTTTCTCACTATGGAAACTCGACAATAATGGGAGTGGGTGAGATTTTCTTTCTTTCTCCTTGTTTGTGTGGTGTCTATTGAGATCCTATTTAATTTCTTAATTGTTGCTTTGTATCACAAATATTTTCTTCCCATGTTCAAGTGTTATAAAAAAAAACTAAATAAGTCTCTTCCCAATCGGAAATATAAAATAGCGTAATGTTTTTGATCAAAACAAAACAGCATGGTCCAATTATTATTCCACACTGATTTGACATTGCAAACCACTAGGAGACAAAAGTGATCACTAAACCAAAGTAGGAACGCCAACGCAAGTGGGCCGACACCATCCTAACTATTTTGACGCCCACTTGTGCAGCTTCTCTGTTCATTGCCCACTCTTTTTGCACGCGAGAGTAATTTTTCTATAGTAATTTTTTAAAATTATTCTACAGTAATTTAATTATTTTGAAATCTAAGTTATATAAATATTCCACATTTCATGACATAACCCCCTCCCCTCCTCACCCCCAACATTATTCCACACATCTTATCAAAATTAGTTCGAGTTTCGACATGTGATCTTGTTATTATTAGAAAGACAAAACTCAGATTTTATTTTTGGCATTAAATTACTTATTTTCTGCCCTTTCTTTTAACTCCAAAGTATTTATTTATTTCATCTCTCAACTGTTTTATAAACAAAAAGCATTATATCATTTAATAAAACAAAAAAAACAAGCCTCCGTCAGCTGGCTCGGACCGACCTCGTACCTTCGCTTGTCTTGTCGCATTAGAGGCTAACGCCGTCTCCGCCTCCGCTTCGTCCAATTCACGGCCAAGCAAACAGTCTCCACCGATTTGGCTCAGGCTTGGCTTCTCACGAGAGCTATTAAATCCCCTTACTACTTACTGATCAACGCTTTTCTGTTTCCACGGAGGAGCAAGGCGGAGATCAGCCTCTTCTATGCCTCATTCCCTTCTTCTTTAGCCGCTTGATTTCGTCTCTAACGGCTACAGACTTTCATCACTAGACATACAAGTTCATCTCTCACACTCACCCGTAAGTTTATTTTTTGTTAAACCCTAATATAATGGGTAATTTAAAGCTTGGATTTTTAGGGCTTTTTTGTATCTAAATGTGATGGGTTTGGTGCTGATACTGTGAAAGATCAAAGCTTTAGATTATGTAAAGATGTAATTTTTCTTTTTTGTTATTGTTTGCTTAAAGGAAAACAAGCTTTTAGGGTGAAGAAATGGTTGGGATAGAAGATAATAGTGACAGGGAGAGGGCAACAGTTGTGGAGAATGGTTTTGCATCGCCTAAGGTTACTCAAGGGAATAATGATACACTCTCCTATGCCAACATTCTTCGGGCGAGAAACAAGTTTGCTGATGCGCTTTCTCTCTATGAGCATATGCTTGAGAAAGATTACAAGAATGTTGAAGCTCTCATTGGGAAAGGGATATGTTTGCAGACGCAGAACAAAGGGAATCTAGCTTTTGATTGTTTTTCTGAAGCGATTAGGTTGGATCCGCATAATGCTTGTGCACTTACGCACTGTGGTATACTTCATAAAGAAGAAGGGAGGCTCGTAGAAGCTGCTGAGGTTTGACATTAGCTTCCTTTATCTCGTTTGTACTAGGTAGGACTTGGGACACTTTTTAACTTAAATTGGTCATATTTTGTGTAGTCCTACCAGAAAGCACTGATGGCAGACGCATCATACAAGCCAGCAGCGGAGTGTTTAGCCATTGTTTTGACAGACCTTGGAACTAGCCTGAAGCTGGCTGGGAATACGCAGGAGGGAATTCAAAAGTACTACGAAGCTCTTAAGATTGACCCTCACTATGCTGTAAAATTTCTCTGATTCTCTTCTTTTTTCATTCTGTTTTATGTGGTTTTCCCTGGTACCATTTAACGAATCTTTTAATCCAATACACTAAAATTTTGTTATGCAGCCTGCGTATTACAACTTAGGTGTTGTGTATTCCGAAATGATGCAATATGACAGTGCGTTGGGCTGCTACGAGAAGGCTGCACTTGAGAGGCCTATGTATGCCGAAGCATATTGTAACATGGGTGTCATATATAAGAACCGTGGTGACTTGGAGATGGCAATCACTTGTTATGAGAGGTAACATGTCTGTTATTTCATTGCTTAATATTAGTTACTGTTTTACTGCTTTATTGTAGGTACAAATGTGGCAGTAATTTTTCTTATTCTTCTGCTGCCATTAGATGTCTAGCTGTATCTCCAAACTTTGAGATTGCGAAGAATAATATGGCCATAGCTCTGACAGATTTAGGAACAAAGGTAATAATCCTTAGCTTCTTGTCATAATTTCGGTAATAATGCTATTTTACTTATGTCAGGGCATTGCCATTGGAATACTTCTGTGGTGAGTACCTGTGAGCACATCTGAGTTGACTATGATATTTCAGGTTAAACTTGAAGGCGATGTGAGCCAAGGAGTGGCATATTACAAAAAGGCTCTCTATTATAACTGGCACTATGCAGATGCTATGTATAATCTCGGGGTCGCTTATGGTGAAATGCTGAAGTTTGACATGGTATTTAATTTGTGATTTATTTATTTCTGTAGTTGCGTGTTTGTTAATTTCTTCGGATCAGTATTTGCATGATATAATTTATCTATATATCTTGTTAAGTTTGTGTACCTATAGTTGCACCCTTCTGTACGTAGATTTCTAATTATTGGAATGAGAAATGGAGCCAAATATGAAATATGTATGTGGTCATGATTGTGTTCTCTATGTGCAGGCAATTGTCTTCTATGAGCATGCTTTCCACTTCAATCCACATTGTGCTGAAGCTTGCAACAATTTGGGAGTACTTTACAAAGACCGTGACAACCTTGATAAAGCCGTGGAGTGTTACCAGGTATTATTTATGCGGAAACCTGCAGCAATTTCATGATTATTTTGTTGTCTTTTGTGGCTAACAATACTCCCAACCTTTGTAGATGGCTCTGTCAATCAAACCAAATTTTGCACAGTCACTTAATAACCTTGGCGTCGTCTACACAGTCCAGGTTTGATATAGATTAAGTGTGGTTAATGTTTTCTTAATGAATCGATACAGTCAATATAATGTTTTTTTCTCTGATTCTACAGGGGAAAATGGATGCTGCTGCCAGCATGATTGAGAAGGCAATACTTGCGAATCCCACTTATGCAGAAGCTTTTAACAACTTAGGTTTGATTTCTCTCTTCTGTTCTGTTCCTTACGTGAGACCGCTGATATTATAGTCCTGTATGAGTTTTTTAGATTTAATGTTTTTCTTCTCTTACTTTCCTGGTGCTAGGTGGTGTTTAATTTCAGTTTTAAACAGTTTCATGGTGCGTTTCAAATGTAGGTGTTCTATACAGAGACGCTGGAAATATAACGGCGGCTATTGATGCTTATGAGGAATGCCTTAAGATAGATCCAGATTCTCGCAATGCTGGCCAGGTAAATTGCCTACTTTAGCGTGCTCTCCGTGATATGACGTTGAAACTACTTGATACCTACCTTTACATTGTGTAGAATCGATTGCTTGCCATGAACTACATAAACGAAGGACTCGATGACAAACTATATGAGGCTCACAGGTTATAATAGATATTAAGAGTTGTTTGGATTTAAGTTATTTTGCTTTTATGGGACTTACAGTAAGAAACTTTTATGTTCACAGAGACTGGGGTTGGCGCTTCACAAGATTACACCCACAGTACACTTCGTGGGACAATCCTAAAGATCCAGAGCGGCCTATCACCATTGGATATATCTCCCCAGATTTCTTCACTCATTCAGTATCTTATTTCATTGAAGCGCCCCTCACTCATCATGATTACACAAAGTACAAAGTTGTGGTTTATTCAGCTGTAGTTAAGGTATTGATTTTGTTGAAAAAGCTTCTCCCTATATGAATATATTTTCCGCCAAAACAATTCATTTCCTTGTTTCTCGTTGCGTCTTTCCCGTTTTGAGCAATCCTTTCTCTCTCATGGTTTTTCAGGCAGATGCAAAAACATTCAGGTTTAGGGATAAAGTGTTGAAGAAAGGTGGAGTTTGGAAAGATATATACGGAATAGATGAGAAAAAGATTGCAAGTATGGTCCGAGAAGACAAAATCGACATTTTGGTAGAACTCACTGGCCATACTGCAAACAACAAGTTGGGAACAATGGCCTGCAGACCAGCACCTGTTCAGGTGAGAGGATATATAAATTTTATCTTATATTGTTCTTTAGGAACTTTTTTTGTGACTTTCCATTTCAGGTTCACTTTAATTGGTTCTGAAATATCAGGTTACTTGGATCGGCTATCCAAATACTACGGGTTTGCCCACTGTTGATTACAGAATTACGGATTCGTTGGCTGATCCACCAAATACCAAACAGAAGTACGTCCGTGTTCATTACAGAGTGGTTTTCTTGAGCTTCAGTGTGATCCAAATACAATCCTTAGTGTTTCTCTTTGTGTTTATTTAATTGCAGACAGGTCGAGGAGCTAGTTAGGCTTCCGGAGTGTTTTCTTTGCTATACACCATCTCCAGAGGCTGGTCCTGTTTGTCCAACACCCGCTCTTTCCAATGGCTTTGTCACATTTGGTAGTTTCAACAATCTCGCAAAGGTTAGATATACTTGTCCTTGGATCATACACACTAACCTCCCATATTATCTCTTTTAATGGTTTATCTCTGTTTCTTGAATCAGATCACTCCTAAGGTGCTGCAAGTGTGGGCTAGGATACTGTGTGCAGTTCCCAATTCTCGTCTGGTGGTAAAATGCAAACCTTTCTGCTGTGATAGCATTAGGCAGAGGTTTCTCACGACGCTGGAGCAGCTTGGGTTAGAATCTAAGCGCGTTGATCTCTTGCCGTTGATTCTTTTCAACCATGATCATATGCAAGCTTATTCCTTAATGGATATAAGGTCAGTTTTGACACATTGTATTACTGAAAAACGCTGAGGCCAAAATATTTACTTATATAATTCACATTTTCTACAGTTTGGATACATTCCCTTATGCTGGAACTACCACTACCTGTGAATCTCTCTACATGGGAGTTCCATGTGTTACAATGGCTGGTTCAGTACATGCTCATAATGTTGGTGTCAGTCTTCTCAGTAAAGTTGGTAAGCTCTCGGAAGTTTGGTTTCTTGTCAAGATTATTTATTTTACTCAGGACATTGTTTAGTTTATGCAACCGTTTCTTTGATTTAGGTTTACCAAACCTGGTTGCTAAAAATGAGGATGAGTATGTTCAGTTATCTGTTGATCTAGCGTCTGATGTCACTGCTCTCTCTAAACTGAGGATGAGTCTCCGGGACTTAATGGCGGGATCTCCTGTTTGTAACGGTCCGTCCTTTACTGTTGCTCTTGAATCCGCATACAGAAATATGTGGAAGAAGTACTGCAAAGGTGAAGTACCTTCCTTAAAGCGAATGGAAATGCTGCAAAAAGAGGTCCAAGAAGAACCCTTAATCTCACAAGACTTGGGATCTTCAAGACTCAACGTTACTGGAGAAGCCACTCCTTCTCTCAAGGCCAATGGTTCTGCTCCTGTACCTTCCTCTTTACCAACCCAATCCTCGCAGCTCTCAAAGAGAATGGACTCCATTAGTTAGAGTCAGTGAGTTTGGAGATTCTGTACTCATATGGGTGAAGATGTGAAAGAGACAGTCCATGAGATATTCCTCCCTTTTTACTTCCAAAGACTGTAGGAACTAGACTTTTAGATCACTGCTTGTGTAGTAAAAAGAACAGTAAAAACCACTCTTTTCTTTGTTTGGTTATTTCTCCTACCAACTCTTAGTTTAGCTTGATAATGATTCTTGGGAAGTGTAATAGGTGGAAGTGGATTTGGAGTTTTTCTTCTCATTTGAGAGATCAAAGTTGTTGTATCAATTAGGTTTTAAGGCTTTTTAGATTTTGCTTTTCATGTGTTAAGTTGATGAATCATATGACAGTATATATCGTTTATAGCCGAAGCTTCTCAGTGACTAAACTATTTCATTAGATGTATGCTAAGTAGTTGGCAAGTTAGGAGACCATACATCATGAAAACTTGAAAACACTTTTATTTTGTTAAATCTACAGACTTTTGACTTTGTATTATTGTTTACTTATGACCAACTCCATATCTCTTTGTTTATTTAGTGTGGAGAGAGTAAAAAGCAAGCAACCACTCCCCATTACCCACTTCTGCTCCATTGATTCCCGACAAAACCCTAAAAGTCCTATAAAAACCTAAATCCTGTTGCTCTCCTTCACCACCAAAGCATCAAACTTTCTTTGATCCACCTTTCAAAAACAACACTAAAGATTAGTCTCAAGCAACCAAAAGTGATATGAAGAACGAATCTACATTCATTGATGTTCCTGCAGAGTCCAGCTCAGCAATGAAAGGAAAAGCTCCTCTAATCGGTGTAGCTAAAGACAACACTACTAGTGGATACAATAGAGGTCTCTCAATCTTCGACTTCCTCCTCCGTTTAGCTCCTCTAATCGCAGCATCAGTAGCCGCAGGAACAATGTTTACCAGCGACGAGACTCTTCCTTTCTTTACACAGTTCTTACAGTTCCAAGCTGGCTACGACGATCTACCAACTTTCCAGTTAACTCGCTTACTGATGCTTGATCATTTCCCTTGTGAAGCAAGTCACCTAACTAGGTCTTGTAATTTTTTTACAGGTTCTTTGTGATTGCCATGTCAATGGTTGCAGGATACATCGTACTCTCACTTCCTATCTCAGTAGTCACCATCGTTCGCCCTCTCGCCACCGCTCCAAGACTCCTCTTGCTTGTTCTTGACACTGTACTTACATACTCAAAACACTTCAATATTATTACACAAGTATGAGACTAAAACACTAAGAATGCTTTGTGTTTTGGTGGACAGGCGATTATGGGGTTAACAATGGCGGCTGCATCATCAGCGGCAGCGATATCATATGTAGCACACAATGGAAACCAGAACACGAACTGGCTTCCCATTTGCCAACAGTTTGGTGACTTCTGTCAGAAAACCAGCGGAGCTGTTGTCTCCTCCTTTGTCGCCGTTGTATTCTTCATGATCCTCATCGTTCTCTCTGGCGTAGCTCTCAAAAGGCACTAATCAAAAAACTCTTATAAAATGTTGTTATCATTATTGTAAAAACTATCGTCATGTGTGTATATTATTCGTCCTTGTTTATGTTGTATTATTATCTTCTCAAAGTGTGATCGTAGCTCTGCTTTTGTGAAAGAAAGAAATGATTTTCTTAATGGCAATTCTCTAAAATAGTCATTTTTTTAAGTTTTATCATAAAAATAGACTTCAAAAATTAAAATGACCAAAATAGCATTTTTTATTTTGAAAATTTTAAGTTTTTTTAATTTTTTTTAAATCCGAAAACCAATCCCCAAAACCTCATTCCTCAACTTTAAACAAATAATATATAAGATTAGTTAACCCAATGATATAAATGTATATTTAATAAAACATTTAAGTGCTATTTTGATCATTTTAATTGTTAAGGTCTATATTTGTGATTAAAAAATTTTTTTAGGTCTATCCTAATCATTTTCTCTTTTCATAAATTACCATATCCTTTAGAATCATATATTATAAAACTTTCGAAATGTGTCATTTTATATTTGTTTTCGTTTACCTGTCGACGTCGCGTATGTATTTTTTTATTTTCGGAGATGCTGAGTAAAGATAATGCTACGGAGATTAGCAAAGAAAGAGCTTACGTGGCGTTAGTTAAGTGGATCGTCAAGCAGTTATTTATTCGACCGTCACGCAGTCTTAACAAGGATAAAGAGTCTTCCTAGTGCCACGTCACCTATTTTTTTCTCCTCCATCTTCTTCGCTAGTGGATTTATCGTTTTCTCGTCAATCTTCCACCAGTTCCTCTGACCAACCAAAATCGTGGAAATATTTTTTTCCCGCTGGTTTTATTTTTGAGTAAAAAGTTTCATGTAGATGATGATGATGGCAGCTAAACTAAATCAACCTGCTCTTCTATCGTCTAGGTAAATTCAATTTCTGATCCCTTGTGGATCATCTTCATCAGTGTTTGCTTTTAAATACCTTTCGCGATTGTTCCTGAGGATGATCTTGTGCGTAGTTCGTTTATACGAGATTCGAACCCGTGACCTCAAGGTTATGAGCCCTGCTAGCTACCAAACTGATGGATTTAGGATTTTAAAATTAGAGGTTAGGAAGAAATTGATGAGGAGTCAAAGTCTTGGTGGTTAGGGTTTCGATTGGTATCTTGTTTAAGAAGTAGCCAGAAAGAGAAACTGAGATTGATTCTTCTGCAAAACTTACTTAGTTCTTTCAAGGAATCTGATTGTTTTCGAATCAGAGATTGCTTATTGCTTACAATCATTGATATTCTTCTTCTTTTGTAGCTCTTCAACTCCATGTCAGCCGCGGATCCCTATTGTATCTTTCGTATCCTGCAAAAAGGCGATGCAGTTAGATTGTTTATCAAATTGCTTGAGCAGTTCCAGGAGCCAATTGTTTGTTAGATATGGTTGGAGTAGGAATTACAAGAAGAAGAAAGGACGGAGGCTTGTGCAGCCTTTTCTCCTTGCTTCTGCTGAAGATGGAGTAGCTGTTAATGGAAGTAATCAATCAGGATCTAGCAGTGGTGTTGATGAAGTGAGAGCTAAGCTCACCGGATCGTTGCAAGAGGAAAGCTATTGTAATGGACTTATCCAGTCTCTTCACGATGCTGCGAGAACTCTTGAGTTTGCTGTGAAGGAGAAGATTACTCCGCCTAGGTTTTCGTGGTTTTCAGGTACTTGGCTGGGAGGTGATAGAGATGCTTGGTTGAAGACTCTTTCCTATCAGGTCCGTGTGCCTTTTTTGTTACAGTTTACTATTTTTACCATTGATCCATGATGATGTTTGCATTAGTTTAAATCATATTTTCACTTGAAAAGAAAGTGTTTCTTGTCAGTGTTTTGTCCTCGGTATGCTCAGTTTAGTTTACATGCTTGATTTACAGGCTTCTTTGTACTCGTTACTGCAAGCTGTAAATGAGATTTCGTCGAGAGGAAATAACAGAGACGAGGATGTTAACGTCTTTGTTCAGAGGAGGTACTCCGTGATTAACCCTTTTTAATCTTGCATTTGTATATGTTTTTGGTTCCTATAAATTATCTCAGCTGCTTCTTTTTCAAGAAATTATATCGCTATGACTGCGCTGGTAGAGTGTTAATTAGTTTAGCTATTTAGGCAAATGTCTAAGTTGGCTTTCTAATTCCTACATCTTCTCAAGCTACGCATTCAAATGAATCTCAACACAAACTCGCTAGTCTTTGCAGGACAATTAACAATAAGATTCTGTGAGATTTCTGTTGGCGTTTCTTCTTGGTATTTGTTTTCCTGCATACCCCAACAATGTTGGAAATCTTACTGGAAATGGCCCGTGCTATCTAGAGACTTAACCTTTGACTTGTTTTTTAGTTTTTTCTTATGTTCAAAATTTTGGCGTTTTACAGCTTATCACGCCAAGCTGTTCCCCTTGAGAATATGATGCGGGATACTCTATCCTCCAAACATCCTGAAGCCTATGAATGGTTTTGGTCTGAGCAAGTTCCTTCTGTAGTGACATCTTTTGTGAATTATATTGAGGGAGATCAACGATTTCTTGCGGCCACTTCTCTGTATGTTTTCTCTTTCAAATCTCCTTCTTTCGGTTAAACTTACCAGGATCTTACCTCTTATTAGCAAGTACCATATAACACTAGTTTGATTGTGGAGTTTTGATGAAGTGACAGTGTTTTATGGTTTATTTCAGCTATTCTAAAGGAAAGTCATCAGCTGCAAGTAATGAGATTGAGGTGTCACTTCTCATGCTTGTGCTCAATTCCATTGCAGCAATCACGAAGCTTGGCCCGGCAAAATTTTCCTGCCCGCCCTTCTTTTCGTCGCTTCCAGATACAACTGGAAGATTGATGGAAAAATTTGTAGACTTCGTTCCACTCCCTCAAGCTTATCATTCAATCAAAAGCATAGGCCTACAAAGAGAATTTCTTACTCATTTTGGTCCTCGGGCAGCACTGGGCAGAGTAAAAGGTGACTATGCTACAGATGAAGTTGTTTTCTGGGTCGATCTCATACAGAAACAACTGCAGCGGGCTATAGATCGGGAGAAAATATGGTCAAGGTTAACAACTTCGGAAAGTATAGAGGTAAAAATTAGAGGACGCACCTGAGCAGCATTTAGCTGCTGTTGTCATATGAGTTCTTAAATGTTTGAGTATCATGAACATAATATATTGTCTAGCTTTTTCTACTTTTTGAACATGAGAAAGTGACGCAAACTGCTTCAGGATCTAAGAAAAAGTGACGCTTATTGAAACAAAAAGCTTATTGGAAGACTTTTATTTATAGAGTTTTTCCAAGTAAAAAACAGTGATTCAAGCTTGTCTCTGTTTTATTATGTTGAAAGATTAATGGCAGTATACTTGTGTATAGTTCCTCTGGGTTTAATTGGGACCTGTCGGTACCTTGCAGGTTTTGGAGAGGGATTTAGCCATCTTTGGATTCTTCATTGCTTTGGGCAGGAGCTCGCAGTCCTATTTAGCTGCAAATGGTTTTGATTCTCTTGAGAACCCATTGGAAGACCTTGTTAGGTAACTGTCAATGTTTCACTCTCTTTCCATTCCCACTAACTTTTGTAAGTTTGTGTTTTCTTATCACAGTCTTGATTCATACTCGTTCAACTTCTTTATTTCAGGCATCTTATTGGGGGCAGCGTCCTTTACTATCCACAACTTTCAGCCATCAGTTCATACCAACTGTATGTAGAGGTAGGCATAATCAAATCATCGGTGGAAACTTCCTTCAATCATTTTGATGTCTTATCATGGAACTGTTGTTATAGGTTGTTTGCGAAGAGCTAGAATGGATTCCTTTCTATCCAAACAGTACTGGCGCACAGCCTCCAAAACAATCACACGGGCATAGGAGCAAACCAGAAGGGCCACCTAATTACGAAGCTATTCCCGAAGTGCTGGATGTTTGCTCTTATTGGCTGCAGAGCTTTATTAAACATAGCAAATGGCCAGAAAAC